GCAGATGACTGGGGTCCCTCAGGCCCCTGCTGCCTTGTCAGATACATGAGGTCCTCAGGAACTCTTCCTCGAGCAGCTTCCGCACCACTTGAAAGGGTTCCACTTCTGTCTTCACCCCAAAATGCTGCTGTTCAGGAGCCTGAGCCGCCCACAGCTTTCCTCCCTCCTCAGACAGCTCAAGTTCATTACGCAGCTGCTTCTGCCGCTCGCCCCCCTGGGTAGGTGCACTCCCTTCATTACGGCTACCCAGCACGAGAGCTACGAGCCAACAGCAGCTTGATCAGGGATGGTGCCTTCTCCGTTCTGTGTTGATGGGCTGTGGAGCCCCTCTCCATCTGGAGCTGGTCCTGCCAACGGGAGTCTCCCGGCACCAGTCTGCTAGACCTCTGCTTCCTGCAAACAGCAGTCGCCCTCAGATAGAGAGCAGAAGCCGAGAGCAGCACGTGGGACATGCCAATAGCAGTAAAATGAAATCAGTGGCAAGTTAAATTGCAAAATAAAGGAGGCTTTTGAGAAAAGCAGGGGCGATTCTCGCTCTAGTATTTTCTCAGTTGGTGAAGCAAGATGTGGTCAGTTGTAAAAAACTGACCCGTTCTGTGGTGTTTTGAGCTGCCAATAATGGACCTAATGCTGCTCCTATTGAATAAATACCCAACTCTCCATTGCCTTCAGGATGAATAACTTGAGCTAATTAACAGCTTCAGAAGCTCAAGCCATTAAAGAGGGTTCTCCGCTGCCATGAGCAGAGAGGAAAGTATCCGGGAGCTTCTTATTCCTCAGTCTGCAACTATTTACTCCGTGACTTGACTGTCCCCTTTTTCAAGCATATCCGTCTGCACCTCATGGCCATGCTTTCTTCTGCCCATCACAGAGGTGGTGGGAGGCTTAATTCCTTGTTATTTGCTGAGTGGGCTCTGATTGCCAGCTGAAAGGCAGAGATTGATAGAGAAGTCCCGTGTGGTGACAGCAGCTTTGGTCTCTTGGAAAGACAGGCTTTGCTAACGGCGCGTGGGGTAAAAGGGTGAAAGACTTCAGCCAAATCCATTGGTGTTGTGACTCTGTGTTTAATCTGACAGGGGACGAATGTAGGGGGAAAGAAAACTGGGCAATTTGTTAGGGTTCAGTGAAGTGCTAACTAGGAACAGCTCTTGGGAGAGAACTGAAGCACCTGGAAGTACATGCCACCGAAACTCCTGCCCTGTGCACAGAATTAGAAATTCTTTGTTGACTGCTCTTGGTTTTGGTTTGGTTTTTAAGATTTTAAACCGCAACTGCAGTTACAAATGAAACAAAGACTGAAATAGTCTGGGACAAATTGGGTACAAGGAAACACAGAAATCCAAAGCATTTGCAAAACTGTGGGGACACCATGAAAATGAAATGATTCCTGCCCCTGCTTTCTAAGCTTGCCACTTGCAGAGGCGCTTTTCCAAAGGCAACCCTCCCAAGCCCACAGGCTGGGATGGGGGGTTGCCTCCAGGATCCTCGCTTTATAAAGAGGGCAGAGAGAGTGGATTAAATCAAGATTTCATTTATTTGGGCTTGTAATTCCTCTTACATCAGCTGCCACATAAAGATTTTCCCCTATTTTCTTCCCCTCCTCCTCATCCTCATTTACTATGCACCAATAATTTCCCTTTGACGCTTTCCTGCCAGTCCTAGTGCCAGATGGCCCCGGTTCTGAGCTTCTCCCCTCTCTTGGGAGCGGCCCCCATTGTCAATGCAAAGGAGGCGTCGTGGCTTTGAACCCAAGCTGGGACCCAAACTTCAGCCCCGGCGTGAGGAGGAGCTAACCCCCTAATGCAGGAAACCATGCAAACAGCACACCCTCCCACTCATCGCCATTAAGGAAAGAAACCCTTCACTAAAGGCTGTTTTGCATTTTCCCCAATGGTCCATGTATAGAAATCTGGCGCAAATTTAATTCTCTCACCACCTGATTCCACTTCCCAGCCGCAAGGTTCCTTTTGTGTCATAAACTCAATTAGACATATGCATTTCACATCACGGACACAGATGTGAAAACAAAGTGCGCACGTACCTCGCTCTTTCTCTCTCTTTCTCTCTCTGTCGATGCGCCTGTGTCGGCTTTAAAGCGATAAAGGCAGTGAGTAAATCTGTTTAGGGCGCCAGCCCGCAATGCAGAACAAAGTGTCCGGCTGCGGCGAGCGGTGCCGAGCTTCTGATGGTGTTGGGGTAGGCTGTGGCATCTTGGAAGTCAATAGGGTTTCCCTGGGTCTGGGCCGGATGACAGGGAGCCGGTCCCCGTTTCATTTCAGAGTGGTGTGGGGAGGGTCTCTGTGCATGGTTTGGGTGCGTGCCCAGCGCGCTGGTGCATTAGCTGTAGGTGCTGAGGAATTTTGCAGCCACACGAGTTGGCAGGGAATGAAAGGAGCGGGTATTAATTTCTTGGTGTACTGCTTGGAACAGGGGGGCCGTAATTGCAAAGACTGACATCGAACCGTGTTTCTGTGTGCCACACAGCATGCAACCCTGCCTTTTAAAAAAAAAAAAATAGCCGAGTTTCTCCCCCTGGTTTGACTTTTCTACATTTTGTGTCCATTCGGGTTTGGAGAGGGACACAAGAGGTTTCGGCATTGAGCGGAGAGTTAAATTATGCAGCTGCAAGACTGCCAAGCCCTTCAGAATAGGATGCTTCGTTTAGATTTTCCACAATGCTATTGAAGTGCTTATTTTCCTCCTGAAGAGACACAAACAGATGCAAACTTCTGTAAACACTTTAGAAATGAATTCAGTGAGTTTGGCCTCTCAGCAGTGCTCAATAGCTGACAGAAAAATGTCTAATTAGTGCAAGTGGAAATAATAGGGCCACTTGGATTCCTTCCATCCTCCTCCAAGTCTACTTTTCCTAGGAACTCAAAGGCCCTTTTGTTTGGTAGGTCACCCTCTCTCAGGCTTTTGTGCTCCAATCTATTAAAGGAAGAAGGGGAGGAAAAAAAATAGATTAGGCGATGCTCTGTGCTTAAATATATGGCCTGTTGATGAGCATTTCGAATGGCTGGTTTGCAGTGTCAGTTTACAGGTGCTTGGAGAGGGGGATTCCTCCATTGTTGCTCGTCATAAGCGGAGTTGTGCTGTGCCCGGCTCCAGGAATCCTTTTCAAGTGCCATCCTCTTAGAAAATCCAACTTGGGCTCAGGGGGAAAAAAAAAAAGAAAAGGGGAAATCTGTACAAATCCGCCTGGCTGAAGCGCAAACACGCTAGCAAATGCTTGCAACAGATTGGTGCTGCGAGCCGGCCTTCGTGCCCTGTGCTGTAGGCCCTTCTCCAAACGGTTTGACACGGGCTTTCTCCTGCACACCACAAACGGTGGTTACGCTGCTCAAAATCAAGAGCGAGTCTTCTTGTCAGGTGGTGGGGCTCTGAGCTAAAAGCAGAGACAATAAAAATGAGGCTGGAAGAGAGACCACGAGGCCTGAGCGGTGTCTAACGCCGTTTGTGTGTATTGCTGGGTCTCTGGCTCTGCTTGTGTGTTTGCACAAGGAAGGCAAGGGGAGGAGGCTGGTGCTGAGGCAAAAATGGCAGATAGCTGCCAAACTTGATGTTTTTAGTGGGGATTTGGACAAAGTTTTCCTGGCAGTCTCTCATCCTCTGATGATGCGGTACAGCCTGATCCTCCCTCCCCTGTGTTGGTTCTGCTCTGTCAGGAGTGGAGTCACTCGCTGACATAAATGAGATGACAAACGCATCCTTTTTCTGAAGAAGCTTTGTATGGTTTAAGGTGGTTTCCGTTTTTTCTTTCCTCTTGTGACTGACCACACTGCAAAGCAGTACTCGACCATCACTAGCTCCCAGGTGTTCGAGCCAGGCTGAACTGCAGAAAGCCAGGCTCCTGTGAGGCTGCTCAGTGGCTGGTGGCCGTGAAGACGAGACAGGCTGGGGCCACGAGGCTCCACTGCTGAAGCGATGGGTCTTTCCTTACAGCTGATGGCTGTATTCCAGGCAGATGTTTCAGTGAAACAATGGCTGGAGGCCATCCTGCCCATCCTGCATGACAAACCTGTAAAAAGGGGATTGCTTAGATGTCAGCGTGTGGAGCACCTCCTTGCTTCACTGGGCAGGACTACCAACCCCTGCCCCACCATGGGAAGGGGTTGGTTTTTGGTAGATGTCACCATATCCATGTGGACTTCTGCAACTGCAGCAAGGCTGTGTGCCTCCTTCATGGCTGGCTTTGCCGGCCTCCTGTCCTCATAACAGCATGCTATCTCAGGAGCTCCGGCTGATGTCTCACATTGATGTGATGGCTCAACCACTCTGGGAATCCGAGAGAGTTCATACAGACTTAGTTGTCATTAAAGGTGACCTGCAGGGGAAAAACATCACACTCCTGGCCTGTTTGACTGTTTGTGGTACACAAAGGTGCTCCATCTGGGACAGTGGCCATAGTGACCATTTCCAGTCTCCAGACTCATGTCCCCCTTTTAAACTAATTGTTATTAGTGCTAGTAATCTGTTGGGCATGATTAAAATTCATTAACAGACCACCAAATTATATGGTTCCAACTATTAAACAACAATTAGAAAGTAAAAAAAAAAATCATCAGGAATTATATCTGCGGCTCAAACAAAACAAACAGCTGGAACCTTCCTGTCTTAAAAATGAAATTATGATCAGGAATAGTCAGAATTATAGGTTATAATACATCCTATCTGATCACTGCCACAAAGACTTTCTCCATTACATAGGTACCTAGGAACATAAAGATTATAAAGTGAGTAGAAATTATTAGAAATTTTTGAAATTTTTAATTGCTAGTGAGTATTTGCTTCTCGTAATGTTCAGTACTTCGCTTGCTGTAAGGTGTAGCCACCTTAGCTGAGGATAGCTGCAGATATCCCATCTGTTTAAAACAGAACGTAGGCAGAACCCTTAGGCAGAGGGTTACGAAGGCGGAATATTTTCTGCAGACAGTTCACCGAGCCTTTGCGAGGTGACTTTCCCCAAGGCTGCCCCATGGCACTGGTGTTCTTTTCAGGTGTATCTGAAAGCCTCCATCATGGTCAAAGACTTCGTAACGGCAACTGCTATTGTGTTCCTGATTGACCGGTTCCTGTATTGGATTGATGCCTCCAGCAAACTTCTTCAGATTGCCAAAGGTTTGCACAGGCTGCAGCCCACCACGCCGATCGGTCCTCAGGTGCTCATCCGCCAGGCTCGCCTCTCCGTCAACAGAGGTACCTCTCCGTTTTCTCGGCTCAAGCCCAATTAGGAACCACTTGACTTTGAAGAAGACACTTTGTCCCTTGCTGGGGATGACATGCTTATGGCCCCAGTGCCATCTTTGCAAACGCACAGCCCACTCCCAGCCCCCTTGAGCCCTCGCAGCTCCTCTCACTAGCACAAAAGGGCTGGTATAAAGGGTTTCAGAGCCAAAAGCAGGAGAGAAAATTGTGAAAGGGTGTGGAAAATACTAATTGGAGCTTTTGTTCCTTAACAAATCTTCCCTGCTGGTTTCAAACAGGGATATCTGAATTGCTATATTTCGGACCAAGAGCCTTTAAAAAGTAAATTAGAATCCCAGTATTTTCTCCACACTGTCCCAGCTGCTTTTTTTTTTTTTCCAGTGGGACCACTTGGCTATGCAAGCCACACAGCCTCGAGGATAAACTGATTTTAAAAAAAAAACCAAAATCCATCATTCTGTAAGGTGGGCAACACCTGAAGGATTTTTAGTGTATCTTCCCACTGTCCCACTGGGGAGAAGAAAAGAAAGCCAGACAAACCTCCTCTGAAATACCCAACTGAGGAACATTTTATCTGCAGGAAAAAGAACTAGACGTTCCCTGCATAGCCATTTTTATTTGTGGCTGTGGTCTGCTCATGCTCTCATTGCCATGGCATCTGGGTACCGGCACACTCCAATTGATGGGCTCATTCAGCCAACACTTAACCCTGTTTCACTAGCTGGAGCAGCCTTTTTGAGTTCAATTGGACAATTGAGACAAAAAGCATGGTTCAGCATGAATCAAGCTGATCAGATGAGACCTTAAGGCGTCTCCTGCAGCCCATCGAGATTGTCACAGGCGACTCCGACCATGCGACAAAACCCCGGAGCTGGAGCCGTATGACGGGGTGGGGGGCTGAAAGGAAGAATCCCCACTTTGTGTTGCATGCTGCATCCCTTCTGCATATTCTGTGCTTAAGATGTTCTGTAAAAGCTGGGTAGAGAGTGACAGGGAGGCAGCATAGCCTGCGGATACCCTTTCTGGGGTGGGACCTCAACTCAGCTGACTTTGGGCTGCATGTGCGGAGCTTCCCCTCAAGGTCAACTCTCCAGTGAGACCAAAATGGGTTTCCAAAACCCGTGTTTCCTTGGGACAGGTGCCTCATCAGCGTCTTCTGCACTATTTGCTGTAGATGTGAAATGGCCTGGGTCAGACACTCCTGAGCACGAGGCAGCATCTGCAGCACATACTTAATTGGAAAGTTTAGTCTAAGTGTGGACACACTGGCAGTGCTGGGAAGAAGAGTTCGATTTGCAGGGGCTTTCACTGATGAACATTTTTGTTCACTTCATGCCACATGATACATTTTAATATTTGTTTTCTATCTTTTTATTTTTAATCAGGTAAACTTCTAAAGGCTGAGTATATCCTAAGCAGCCTTATTAATGACAACGGAGCAACAGGTACATAGGTATTTCTTTTCCAATGTCAGAGTTGCTATTTTGGTGGGATTTTAGATAATAATTTTAACAGTCACACAAGATTCAAATACAGCCAATCTGACCTCAGTAACGGCTCCTTACATCACATTTCTCTTTTCTTCACCATTCTTTGCTAAAATGTGGAAACTACAACTTTGTTTTGAAATTTCCATAATTCATCCTTGTATAACTTCACTTGGGTAGGAAAATAAACTGGTTTGAAAGCCTTCCTTCTCTGCCCAGAGAATTTTAAAATATGGTTCAATTTCAAGCAATTGACTGATCTAGAAAACTAAGACAAATCCTTCTCCCCCAAAAAATCCAGATTGTTAGGCTAATGCTTATCCTCCAAATTCACACTGATCCTACGAACTAAAGGAATACTTTATTTTAGACCTGTAGCAGACCGCAGTGCAATTATTTAGTATTTTTGGGGGTTAAGAAAAAAAGAAAGTGAGTCCAGGTTCTTACAGCACTTTCTTCTATTACTGGATAGATGTGCAAAACTATAAAGACGGGACCATTCCTTAATGCATGATGATGTTTGTAGAAATTCCTTTGTTCTTTCCCTTTCTGACAAACAACTATACTGCTGGCCATGTGCCTTGTTTCAGTTCTGAAGGGGTGTGCAGTATTTCTAATGGTAAGAATTCATTAATTTTGGCAGACATCCGAAATTATCATTTAGTTACAGGCTTTATACAATATATTTTAGGGTTCTATATCTGTTTTCCATTTTCATATCCTTAAGGTTTATTTAGTCAAAACATTCAGGTTTCTCTACAGCCATGAAACAGAATATTTAAGAAACCTGTTCTGGGTTTTGTTGGTTTATGAAACAGGTTCTTATACTAGAAGGGCCTTCATGCAAGAGGGCTTTAAACAAAATACCTGCTATCACTGTTAAAGTAGAACTTGCTATGCAAAACACTGCATTTCATCTCTTTTAGGATTATGCTTTTCTTTCAAGATTATTTTTGTAATCTTCAGTGATAATACTTGTTTGTTTAACATTGAAGAGGTGTTGTTGAACAGATGCTTCATGCTGAGAATTGCAGTGAAATGTTCACAATCCTTAGGAAAGCTTAATTCATATTCTGTGCTGAAGTCCAATATAGACTTGATAATGACTTTGTGTAACTAATCATACTGTGTTAACATGAAAACTTTTGGTTTAATCTTCATTAGATACTGATACCTGAAAAGAAAGCATGTTTTGCCAATGGTTAAAAGTATTTTGCTCCACTGTATATACTGGCGACAACAAAGATACCCCATATTGATCCTTTTGACTGGTTTTTAGTGGAACTCTGTACGATGTTTATATGCAAAAACTTTTTGTTACTTCGTAGGAGAGGGGTACCTTTCCCTTTTTAGATTGGTTTTGTGCTCTGTGTAGCTATCACTCAAGCTACATGCCCATATACCTGTCTATTTGTATTCCTTAACACACCGTCCCTTTGCCATCTATCTGACTACAGTCCTGACTCAAACCAGCTGAATTCAATGCGGGGAATCCGGGCAATTTACTGGGGTTTAGGTAACCCTCAGAGACTTAAAATGATGGCAACATTTTTCATTCTCTACTGAGTTTTTCCACTCTTTCTGCAGGTACCTGGCGATACGCTAAGGAAAGTGATAGGATTCTTGTTCAGTCAGTCTGCTTACAAATCAGAGGACAGATTCTGCAAAAGCTTGGTAAAGCATTTTTCTATAAACAGCTGCTCAGGGTTTTCCCTTCTTTTCTTTTTTTTTCTTGGCAGTCCAGCTTTAAAGTGGTTCATTTGGCATAAGTCAGATTTTAGCTTGTGTAGAACACCTGCCTGATGCCCGTAACGCATCTGCAGAAGATGAGTTGTACACCCGTCTGCAGCAAGAACCTAGAGCCATGCACCAAGCAAACACATTTTAGAAATTACCATTTTATTACTAATCTTACCAGAAGTCAAGGAGCATTCTGAAATGTTGTTCCCTTTTCCCTGTGCTACTCCACGTTTGCTAACTCTTTTCCCAAATTTGCTCGTCCCAAAGGCATGAGGTAGCTTATCAGGGGTACATCACAGCAATTTCCTCTCTCAAGACAAGAAAATCCCTAATTTTCAGCATGATGGACTGTATTCTGTATTCAGGGCTTGGTACTTGAGACCAACAGACTTAATCTTGTGCTTTTGATGGGATCTTTCATCTCCCATGACTGTTGAGCTGAACTCTTTTATGAGCATAAAACGTGTGTTTATGCACAGCCAAAAGCTAAAGGAAACTTAATAAATGTTCAGTGTCACCGAAGACAAAAAATGCTGCGGTATGGTTTTGTACTGTCTGAGGGCTCCTGACTCAAGGAGGTGTAACATAAACTACTGAAAGCCATCTGTAGGAGTAATCTGGTCAGTGACTATTTTTGTGATTTATTTCAGGGATGTGGTATGAGGCAGCAGAGTTGATTTGGGCTTCAGTTGTGGGATATTTCAAGCTTCCTCAACCAGATAAAAAGGTAGTATTTCCTTTTCACTCTGCATATCCTTGCCAATCTAACAATCCTTCCAGATTAGCTTTTGTTTACCTCAGGAAAGTCTTTTGGTAATGATGTTTCAGTTATGAACCTCAGACATGGTTAACACGCAGGACAAAAATTCTAGCCAAAGCCTGTGTTGCACATTGTTTCCGCATGCATACACAGACTTACGGACACCTTTTTCCTGCAGGGGAATGAAAGCACTAGTTCTCATTAAGCAGAATCATCTGAAGTGAACCATCACCTAGGATGTCACAGGTGCCTTTGACAAGGACAGACTAATCCCAGAATGCAGCCATAGCTTTTATTTGTTTATGAGGACTAAAGCTAACTATTTTTTCCCTAGTAACCAAGCATGTCTGTTTGCTGAGCTGCACTACACTCTCTGTGGTGGATGATGGATATTCCCCGGCACTGTGGGATCTGAGCACCTTGCCACAGCTACTGTATCTGTCTTTAACACCTTTGTGAGACTTGGCCCCACTAATCTTCCCACTCTAGATGAAGCAACAGTCACACCATGTGTCCGTAGCTAAACAGGAATGTGAACCTAATCTTGCAAGTCCTAGGGTGATGCTTTAATAAGTTTTGTAATTATACCCCAGCATAAGATACACCACAAAACCAGACCTTGTCACCTCTCCTTTGCCATACCTTAAAGCTTGACCTCAAGCTCAGAACATTTCTATGGGAGCAAAGATGTGTACAGAATTTGGCGGAAAGCATACAGGTACTTCCTGGTGTTCTTAACTGTTTAGCTGGGCAGGCCCTTAGCTAGCACCTACAGATCAAATCTTCTAGGGTGAGACAATTAGCAAGTTCATAGGTCTCTACGTTACATGTTCATGTCATTTTTTAATTGGTTCTGCAGAACCAATTACAAATTAACAAAAACCCCCAATTCTATCAACACCAAGAACTCGACTTTTGTCCAATTCTGTTTATTTGGTTTTTAAACAGTGCAGTAAGCTAGAGAAGTGTGTTTAAAAAAAGATGCTTCTTTTCTTAGGCTATGTGTGATGAGCATTTATTACTTCTATCATCTCTATAGACATCTTCACCTGCAGTGTTAGAAAGTCAGGGATCAACTGGACAGTTCTTAAACATATTTTTTGTCTTTCTGTGATCTTTTCTGAAAAACAAAGCTAACACAGATTGAGTCTTTTTTTCAAATATGATTAGCCAAGGGCTTAATGCCGCTTTTGGTGATATCAGAAGACTTCACTTTCATTGTTACAAACAGCTCCTTGGGAAAATGCAAGGCTGTTCATGTTGAAACCTAGAGCTAGTGGTTAGAGGGAGAGCTGCCACTCATGGAAACTCATATGTATTCACCAGGCTACACTTTCTGCAAGCTAAAATTAATAAAACCCTACCAAGATGACATCTCTCAATTTCTTAGCAGTGCTTCTTTTTGGATCTTGTTTGTTTGGTTTGGTGTTTTTGTTGGTGGTTGGTTTTTATTTTGGGTTTGGGTTTTTTTTTTTTTCCCCTGGTATGTTCTACACAGAACCTCCTTTATTGAGAGTAGTAAAATTCAAAATACAAGGGGAAAAAACCCCAAAATCTATGACAATATTTCCATTTCTCTTTCAGGGAATTGCTACTTCCTTGGGTATTATGGCAGACATCTTTGCTTCCATGAATGAGAAGGATTATATTCGATTTAAAGCCAATGCTGAGATTGACCTCGTAAGACTTGGTTTGCTATTTGTGTGTGTAGATTCTTCAGGCAGTTTGTATGTTGTTGTCCCACATTCACTGAAATTTTCTTCTCCCTCCGGTTCCTCTCCTGTGCTGAGAGGGCTGAAGAAATGTCCATTGCTCCCAGTTAAAAAGCTCATTAGCACCTGGACAGAAGAATACCTTGCTTCAGGAACAGAAAACATGAAGAGTAGTTTCAGAGTGTGCATGTCTGTTTCTATGTAATAGATAGAATATTTATAGGTCCCAAAAGTGATATATCAATGGTAGACCTGAGCAAAAAGGCCCCTGCAGAAACAGGCCTGGCTGTTGCTGTTTAAGATATGATGTGCCGCTCCATCAAGACCCAAAGGTCTCAGAGAGCTCAAGAAACCTACAACAGACCAGAAACAAATCCCAAGCTGCCTTGCTTCAATCTAACAGGGTTGCATACCAGGTAAATTAATCTCTTTAGAAAGAAAACATTTGAGATGAGGTTTCCCCTCTTGTTTTTTTCATTTCACTAGAGCCTTCTCCGAGAGTGTGATCATCGCTTATTATCAGCTGCTGAGGCCTGCAAACTAGCAGCAGCCTACAGCCAGTACACCCCGCTGTTTGTCCTCACAGCTGTGGTAAGTATCAGTCTGCATTCTGAAAGTGTTATTTGTACAGGAGAAGAGGCTATTAAATTTGGCTCTAATTTGGCTTTCAAACATTGCGTCATACAGGGTATTGTGTCTGTGTTGTGGGTATGATGCTACATGTTGCTCTGAACTCCAGCCAGAAGCTAAGCAGATGGGCGGAAAGCAGTATCTGTCCACAGAGTGAGGATGAGCTTTCAAGCCCATCTGGGAATGCTGCTTCTGCTATAACTGCAGTTGTATTTCAAAGGAAAAAGGGCAAGATTATTTCCTTCAGGAAACACTGCAGCAGGTGGTTAGAGCTCATGTTTGCTTCATATAGTATAAGGGAAAGAAACATACTTTTCCCTCCCTTTGACTGAGGTCCAGGTTTTTAATTCCTTCATTCTTCTTTCGTCCCCTCCCAGAACATCCGCGGGGTGTGTTTGCTGTCCTATAGTCACTCCAGGGACTGTCCCCCAGAAAAGAGAAAGTTCTACTTGTCCGAAGCCAAAGAATCCTTTGAGATCGGCCTCCTCACCAAGAATGATAAGAGTCCCATCAACAGCAAGCAGGAGCTCCATAGTTTTATTAAAGCTGCTTTCTGCCTCACAACCGTGCATCGATGGCTCTATGGGGAGAGTGAGAAACTCTGTGCAGTGAGTCAACTATGCAAAGAAGCCCTGGGAAAACTGCATTCATACAGCACTTCTTTTACAGAGGATGAGGAGAAAGGAATGCTTGCCAAAGAGATCATGTCCCTGATTACATCCGTGAAGAAGCACCTGCAAGTGGAAGGCTTCCCTAATTCCGATGATAGGTCTTATGTTCCAGACAGTTATAAAGGCACAGTGGAAAAACCTATCCTGCAAGGGAAAGCCAACTTTGAGAAAATCCTTGGCGTGCATTCTCAGCATCATCTGTCAGTGTGTGAAGTGTTTGAAAATACTTGCAGGCTTCATAAAACCGCACCAGGAGAAACCCAAGTGGGAGCTTGTATCACAGCCTTAAGAACAGAAACCAAAAACATAGACACTGTGTGTACTACTGAAGACATAGTGCACCGAAGGAAAGACGCTGCGAAAATGCTGAGTTCACCAACAGCAGGAAGTAGCTCAGAGAGACTCGGCGGCCGAAGAAATAAAGGCATTGACTCTGATGTGATGAAAATTTCCTTTGATGAAGAGATCGAGCCATTAGAAAGAGAAATAAATGATGAAAACAGTGTTTTCAGCAGATGGCAAAACAGGAGTCAAAGCACTACTTCAGAGAGCTCTTGGTGCAAGCTGTCAAAATCAAGTTACTCTTCCAGCTGGGAGGAACTAAACTGCAGTAGCAGCAAAGAGCCTCCCAGGGGAGGGCAGCAGCAAGAAAAGGGCTCAGCGGAGGAGCAGTGTTGCACAACAGAATCTGATGAAAACGGTCAAGCTGCATATTTGCATTCATTGTCTCCCAGAGCCTTGCATCCTTGTCCTCGAGGGCCTCTACGTAGCTGTCGGGGACCTCCTCGGCCTTCCTCAGCAGCGGATGCACCTCGAGCTGGGAGGCTGGCAGAGAAGGCGTCTCCTCGTGGAGAAGAGCTGTGGGAAGGAAGACACCGTGGAAAGAGCCCTTCAGAAAAGAAGGCAGGCGAAGTGAACAACGCGGCTCCTTCCCTCTCCGCCCCGTGCTCTGTTCCTACCGGCCCGGAGGAGGAGGAGGAGGAGGAGAAG